AGTTCTCACATTTGTTACTATAGTCTTCCTGAAGCTATCTAAAGTCTCTTGTCTTGGCCTCTAGTTGTTCTTTTAAAGGTTTTTGGGCCTTCTTAAGAGTATATCCTTCATATTTAAGGTCCTCAATTTCTCTAATTAATAATTCATGTTGATCACGATAAAGTTTACTTTTAGCTTCACAGGACTGAGAACATGAAGTTTCATTAACCTTGGTGATTGAAGAACTCATTATTCACCAAAAAGAATAATTTACCAAAAAATAGAAGTGATTCTGAAACTAAGAAAAATGCCCTTTGACTTGAAAGCTCGAAAGTCAAACTAGAAAGTCAAACTTGAAAAGTCAAAATTGAAAGTCAAACTTGAGAGTCAAAACTGAAAGTCAAACTTAAGGGTCAAATGTGATAACTTTAAAGTCAAAGGTCAAATTTGAAAGTCAAAACTCAAATTTGAAAGTCAAAAGTCGAAAGTCAAAACTTTAGGCCGAAAACGAGACTTCAAAAATCGAAAAATGTGATTTTTAGACCAAAAATGCGAGGCTTCTCATCCTAACCGAGAAGTCTCGCACCGAATACTATTGACCGAAGAAGAGGATCTCGCACCGAAATCGTTAACCGAAAACGAGGACCGAGAACCTCCGGACCGAGAATCTGCGAGATCGAAGACTGCGGACCAAAATCCTAGCACCGAGAACCGGAGGCGCGCCACCGAAAACACTGCTAACCGAAATCCGATGCTGAAACCCTAATCCGAGACCGAGAACAGCCGTCGGGGTCTCGCAAAAATCGACCAAAAATGATCAAAACTTGCCAAAAACACAAGATTTTCAAATCTTTAATGCCAAACTCGAACAAAACTCCAAAAATATGAAGAACACGAAGAACAATGGCGAAAAATTCGTAAAATATAAATCAAAAAACACCAAGAAACTCCAATCAAAACCGTTTGCAATTACCCAATTGATACCGCTCCAAGCTCTGATACCACTTGTTAGTCCCAAATTCTCCTACGTATCAGTCAGATTCACTTTGATGGTGCGGAATCCAAATCAAAGTGTATAATGCAAGATATAAGATGAATAAGAACAAGAAATGATTAATCTTCAATGCACACTATTATTGAATAATCGGGTACATAAGATTCACAACTTCACTTCTATTTCTCTCTATTGCTCTATTGAACGTGTTCTATGATTATGGCAGCACCGAGAACGTTCCACACACCCACATTTCCCACTTTTACACCTACATAACACTATATATATACTTGGACCTAAATACAAAGCCCAAGCCCAAAACCCAAAAGCCTAACCGAAATCACATGAGATTTCGGTCCAATTACAAAGGAACTCAAGGGAATTTCGGCCCTAAACCGACAACCATAAAGGCCTAGAAAAGCAAAGTATAAACCATAAATTATGACTTAACATGGGTATGCTAAGTTTTTAGACTCAGCTAATGAATAACGTCTAACTAAAAACCCCTTAACTAAAAAATTTGTGAATAACTCTCAGCCCTAACTTAATTGTGGATAAGTTCTAGGCATAATGAATTTCATGGTATCAGGTTTACAAAAGCCAAGTATGTTTGACATGTATGTAAAGTATAAGCCACTAACTTTTATAACAAAGTATGTTTCTTTTATAAACTCCATAGTAAAAAGGCATATGTTATTTCAATAGTAGTATTATTCTAACAACATAACATACTAGGATATTGAAGTTTAAAACGATATTGTTTACTTATAATATATAAGTGTTAAACAATGTTTTGTAACTACTATGTACAGACGACGGCCAAACATGAAACATCGGAGGGCAGGATCATTCTAGCAATTAAGCCGTTCTAAAATCCAACAACCCAAGCGGCCCTTCAAACCAGATTCTCCGTATCATAACCAGTTAAAAGGCAGTGTAATAATATTTTTCTATAATTTATAATACTTAGTACATGTATTCTCCCCAAAAATATGTAAATACAAAAGAGGGGTCTTAACACTCACCTTAAAGTGTGATTGTCGATTTGTTTTCGTGATGGATGCGAGAAACCATGATGTATTACCGTGAACACGATACTCCGAGACCGATTTAGTTTCCTAAGGAAATATTAACATAAATTAATATGTGGAGGTAGTTGGTATTTTTAACTAAGCAAAGGACTTCTTAATAATTGCCACAATTTTATTAATCCAAAAAATTTGATTAAATAAATTTTATCTAAAAAATTTAATTTAATATCTTCCAAAATTTTAATTAAAAAAATTTACTTAAATTAAAGTTTTATCTGATAATTTATAAAAATTTATTTAATGTAAAGTTTAATTTTATACAAAATAAATGAATATTTCTAAAAAAAATTATTAAAGTTTTGTATTAAAGCCTTGGATTCATTTGAGAGGATTTTTCCATACACGGGTGGATTTTGAACATTTTAATTGAAGTTACATTGGTTTAGGACTAGTTTTGAAAACAGTTTTGAGAATGGGGTAATAACAATTAATTTAGAATGCATGTTTGTTTTGTTCGGATTTCATAACAGGAGGTGACACATCTCCTGTTTTCCTCAACCATGCATACGTCAAAGAAATGAAAAAAATCGGTCTAGGTTCGCATAAAACGATCGACGGAGGCAATACTAACGACTAAAGGGGTGTTTGGAGAAGGCTTACCATAACAATTAAGGTGGTGGATGGTGGTGGTGGCAACCGACAGTGGGTTCCAACGAGGTGGCAGGGAGTGGTTCCGAGGGCTCCTCCTTCGGTTATGCCTCCTGTTTTTGAGTTGGAATCGACAAGGAGGAGGTTGGTTGGAGGTGGGGACTTAAGAAGGGTTTATAAGGTGGTAGTATGGTGGCTTTTTGGATGGTGGAATGGTGGGGTGTTGGTGGTGTTATGTGTTATACCAAGAGAGAGAGATGAATAAAGTTTAGAGAGATGGAGATAAAGATCTTTTGAGATAGAGAAGAGAACTGATGGTTTTTGGTGTATCTTGAGGCTCCATATGCTTAATTTTATAGGAAATCACACACTCTTCCCTTTTTGAGCCATACCTCAAACATCCATACCTTGTACTCTTTTGGCGTTGTGTGAATGCAAGGGGTAGAAAAGGGGAAGAAGTCACGTGGAAATGGACAAGAGTGGAGGCCAAATCTGATCTTTTTGCCTCTTGAATCATATGTGGGCCCCACATGAGGTTATACCCTCATTAAGTGCTCAAAAACACCCATAATCGGGTGTATCGGGATCCGAATGTCGAGAAATTTTTTTCGAACATGCCGTTAGATAGAGTTTAGTTCAAGGATTTCGAAAACCTAAATGGATTAATTTTTCGAGTTACGGAACTCCGGGAAAATGCGTTTAAAGTTCCGCGTCTAAATAGCCCGAAACGCTCGATTTTTCGATTTTCAAAAATATTTTTGCTAAAACTATTTTGAGTGTGAAACTAAATATTAGGCTATAGACTGAGTCTAAAAACACTCTCGGAATTTTCATCGGAGGTGCGTAAGTGCCTCAACGGATCGATTCGGTTTTATGCGATTAAAGAAAACTAGTGTTTTACTGTCTGTTTTCTTAAAAATTTCGTATCTTTTGCATACGAACTCCGTTTTGGACGTTCTTTATATTTTCGAAAATAGGGGAACATGTGCTATAAGGTTTTAATGTTTTACTGGTTCATAACTATTTAATACAAATTTTCAGTTTTTCAGACACATTAACTAGTGTTGCAGTTTGAGCTGTTTGATTCGTTTGACAGTTTACACATTTAGAAGTAAGGTATCATTTGACATATTATAATATTTGAAACGAACTCATTTATTTTACATCAGATGCACTAAAACTGAATGAGTTAAATTACAAAAAGATTTACTGTAATTTAGTCGTTCGCAGTTTATACGCTAATCTACGGGATGTCACAACATATAACCAAATATAGAGATTTCAGTATGGTATGTGGTATTTTGAGAAACTCACTAAGTTTTGTGCTTACTTTTTCAAGTGTAAATGTGTTAGGTACTTCTGGTAACAAGGGAAAGGGACCGACATGATTGCATCGCATCCGCTAAAGATTCCTCACTTCTGTTTTATGGAACTCTGATGTTTATTTTGGGAATATATTTATTACTCTGATTATCATTGATGGAATGAAATGAATGGTTTTACTTTATTAAAAAATGAATTTTTTTTAGCATTTTTGGGACGTAACAAAGATAGAGTCTGTGAACAACTTATTCTAATAACTGTCTTTCATGACCATTTAAGTTAATTCATAGATCAAATCTCTAATAATACGAATTTAATTATAATTGTTTAGACAGTTAATTGCATGACTGTTGTATTAGTTGTATTTATAATTATACATTTAGTTAATCGGATGAAGATAACTAATACTTTAGAAATCGGTAAATGTTATTTAATATTCATTGAACTCAATTGGAATCCAACATATTTAAAGGTAAAATTGAAATTTATGTGAAAACATCTTTATCTCTTTAGTCTCTAAGTCTATTCTCTAGTTTTGATAGTTTTAATTAAGTATTAATTGAATTTGATAAAAAAAAACCCTCTTTATATTTTATTGTTTATAGTTTAATTAACATTTGAATTTATCTTAACTGAATTCTCATTCTCTTGTGCTCGACACTTGATGTTACCAAAATTAAATTGTTACACGATCAGGTTCACTACATGTAATGTGCATTAGTTTAATTCCAATAGGTTAGGATTTATAAATTTCAAACCAAATTATATATATATATATATATATATATATATATATATATATATATATATATATATATATATATATATATATATATATATCATCTTATAAAGGGTTTATAAACATGGTCCTACAATATTTAAGACAATTGTTTTAAAAGTCAAGGAAACAAAATCTAAGACAATTGTTTTAGAAGTCAAGGAAACAAAATCTGGAGCGTTGGATATTCATTGGACGGTGAGGATATAGTTTTGATGATCCATGTGACTTGCGTACGACCAATGAGAAAAGAGTGTTTAAATCCCTCTTACTCCACAAACGAAAACACTCCCATACATATTGTGCCCTATTTTTGATTCCCTAAAATTTTAATTAGGTTCAGCCACCATTAAAGCCACCGATCAAAGTCGTTCCTCTTAGCCACCATCGTCAAATCTATTTGCTCAAACCATCCTACCCTGCAGCCACTAATTTCCGTCACCACCATCAATTTACTCCATCGGTGGTTATGGGGGTTTTTGATTTCATCTGCTAGGGCTCAAATGAGTTCGAAGGCTTCCAACATGTGTGATTTATGGGTTTTCGTTTGTTAAGATATTATGTTGTGTTTTTCGGTTTTACTTGATTTGATTTATGGGGTTTTTAGAGTATAATACTTGATAGCATGTTTGATTTATAGGCAAAAAAATCTACAGCAAACCATCCCCGAACGAACCAGTGGTGTTGGTTTTTGGTGCTTAAAAAAGTTAACAGGTCATACTTCTTATTGATTCATTTTTTTGTTTCTAATAAGTCCGAAATTCCTTTTGTTGTTCATCTTGGTCCTTTTGATTTAGTGATTTTTTTTCTTCTATTGTATATTTGAATGATAATAGATCTCGAAGGGCTGATATCATATTTGAATGGAACGAAGGATGATGTTATTCAGGTATAAGTATTAGTATTTATTTAACCTTTTTATTGTTTGATCTATTGTTCTGAACGATTAACTTCATATTTTGGTTTATTGTTTCAGAGACATGTCATATTTTTTTCTTCTTAACCTCTTTATCTTATTCTAATTGAAGTTGCTCTTCTTTTTTCCATTTTATTGTTTATTGGTTTGGGATGTTCTTGGAGTTTCTTGATGTTCTTGGAATCATACTTGAGAAGTATGATCTAAATACAAGGTGGGATGGATGTTTAGATCTGAGTTTTCATTTGTTCGAATACTCTTCAACTATGTTTGCTTTTGTCTACTTTTGTTTTCCTATGAGTTCTTATTGCACTGATTTTATTTGGCATAACCCTTAAGTATTTTGTTTTGTAGTAGTAACAAGGTAAAGTTTACGTGAGATAAGACATGAAGTGAAGTTGAGTGAGCTGTGGTTAAATAAAGTTCCGACTGTAAAGATCTCAACCTCTGAACCTAAATTTCTATAAATCTAACTGGTTGTTTGTTTGGGAATATATGTTGTAGATCTAGAAGTTCATTGAGATAAAGATTCTACAAGTTTCATTCCAGAGTAGAACATAATTTTTTCGATTTATTATTGACTTTTTTGAGTTTTAAGAAGTCATAATTTATTTTTTAATGTTCTAAGTTTTTTTTTGGTTTGTTTATTTGTATATGCTGTAAAATCTGACGTTTGGATATTTTTACCATTGTAATATAGTGTTTTTGTTATTTGGAAGTGAAATAAATACTTTAATTATAAGATTTTATGATTTATATAATTAGATGAATTTTAGTGAGATGTAAATAAAGTGTTATAAATTTATGATTCCGTGTTTTCTGAATTAGATTTTATGTGTACTAATTTTTGAATACCGAAATATGGTTGACTTAGTTGTCTTAAAAAAAGTTGAACATTTTACTGTTTATGTGGAGGTGTACATTGACGAACTAATATCTATTTCTAACTCTTTCGGCACAATATTTTCTTGTTTTCCCAGTATGAAAATTAATGACTTTTATTATGTGTATGAAGTGATGTTTTTGGTATTAAAATATATATTATTCAGATAAATAAATAAGAATAAATGATTTTTTTTATTTTTATTTTCTATATAGATGCATAAAATCTTTTTACATACATAAAGATGATATTGTTAGCTATACTTTTACCAAATAAAACCAGAAAAAACAGATGGTTCTTATTTTAACAATAACAATTTATATAATTTTTTTAAAGTATAAGAATTTTTTAAAAATCAAATATGTATCCAATTTTTATTACATAACATATTAAAGTATTAAAAAATATTGAGTTGTAAAAAAACTAAAAAAATTTGGAGAGAAATTAACCGACTTTCTTTAATTTGAACTGTAAAATATATGCAAAAAGATTTTTGTTAGTTCCAAGTAAGCGAAATCAAGACTTTGATATGGAAATAGGTGAGTTGACAATACACTGGAGTCTAAAGGTATAATTATGGCTGTAAACGAACCAAACAAACACGAAGAAAGTCTTTTTCATGTTCGTTCGTTTAAGTTACCTGAACAAACAAACGACCACGAACGGATAAACGAATGATTTTTTAATTGTTCATGTCCATTCGTTTAATAAATTACATTGTTCATGTTCATTCGTTTATGTTCGTGAACATGCTAAACGAACATAAATAAACAAAGATAAAAAAACACAATCGAACATATATGAACATAAACGAACATATAATATAACAGTATAATAAAAAAATTTGATTATAAATGAATATAAACAAACTTAAACGAATGAACTTAAACGAACGAACATAAACGAACATTCACGAACATAAATGAACGAACGAGACAATTGTTCATGTTTGTTCATTTAACGAAACGAACGATAATTTTTGTTCAAGTTCGTTTATTTATTAAATAAACGAACTTCCCGTCGAACACTTCACGAACAGTTCGTTGAACGTTTAGTTCGTTTACAGCCATATGTATAATTATAACAGGGATTGTCTTTTGAGATTATCATTTTTTATTATCAAAATAGTTTTCTTCTTTTATTTATAACTCTTTAACTTTTACTTTTACTTTTACATTTTGATATTTAAAGCATGAACGACTAAATTTGTTTTTAATAATGAAACATAATACTATAAAATAGATATGTATATACATATAACATAAAAAACTAAAACAAAATTATTGACTAACTACTTTTCAAATGTTTATTAAAGTCGAATAGCGTATGAATAATATATGTAATAACTGTTATATAAATAAAAGTAAAACAATTTCTCATTTCATATTTGTTAATATATAGGAAGAAATGGTTTGGGTGGATACAGAAAAATATTTTAGTAGTTGCGCTACCAAAAAAAAATACATTTTTTTGACGTCAGTTTTTGTCATAAAATTCAACATATTTACATTTAATTTACACTTATTAGGACCTGTGATAGATTTCCAATGGGTTGGAGACGGATTTCCAAAAGATTTGTAATGCATTTTGATGAATTTAATATAAATTTTGCACTTGACAACCAAATTTAAGGGGTCAACCATGTCACCCTAGGACACCAAGTGGGTCCGCCCCTTAATCGTTTCATTTGGTTGGGGTTTTATATGTAAGAGGGAATTGAAATTAAACATTTATAAACGAAATATGATTTTCTCGATTCATTTTTTTAACATGGAATGCTCCCGAAAGAAACTATTCAATATCTGTCGGAAACAAATCGCCTAAGGGATCTATTTGTCGAAAAAATATATTCACCGACCCCATATTCGCCGCTTGTTGTATTCTGCGTGGACAAACTAACCACCACAAAAGAAAAATTCATAGAAAGAAACTATTTGTCGCCGTCAAAATTAATTTATTTGTTGAAACGAACTTTTTGCCGCAGCAGCATCGCGCGGGTACACTACTAGTATATATATATATATATATATATATATATATATATATATATATATATATATATATATATATATATATATGAAATACACATCATTAGTCATAAGGGTAAAATATGAACAATTTCATATAATTCATAGGTAAATCAAGCACGAAAAAATTTTAGTGACTAAATATGAACAAAGTTGAAGTTTAATGACTAAATGTTAACAAAACTAAAAGTTTGTTATAATAGAGGCCATCTATGTCATCTCCACCATGTTTTAGACACACAAATAAAAAAGCTTTGACAACAATGGAGGCCATCTATGTCTATAAGCTTTTAAGTTTCGTCATTATCTTTCTACACCTGTATTTCATGAAGGGGACTATGATATATGATTATAGATCTTTAATAATCATTGGCTAAAAGAGAATCCTCTTTCTAGATCCATACATTATCCAAAAAGCACCCCTAAAGTAATTCATTTTATACCTAATTTCTAAACTGAACATTCGTTATGATTTGTGTTTGTGTTGTGTTGCAGATATGGACGTGGCAGAAGGAGGCGACATGTGGCGAAACCGGAGGATACGTTGTCACCACGGCGCGACGCGCATGTTTCCTTTGTGCGATGCGTTTGGTGTGTGTGTGTGTTTGTATATATATATATATATATATATATATATATATATATATATATATATATATATATATATATATATATATATATATATATATATATATATATAAGTGTGTGTGTATGTGCATGTTTTGTGTCATTTGGGAGATTTTGGCATGCGTGATCGGAGATGCTGCTTGGGAAGCATTCAGAGGAGATTATAAAGACGAATATATACCGTTGTATGAGAGATACAATGTTTATTTAAGGGATTCATGGAGGTATCTTTTATCCTATTATTGTATGATTACATAATGTGATATTTACTGAGATTTGTTAGACCCGAGTATGTATTATGGGAATTCGTAATATGGTGTTGTTACGAACCTATTGGTAAGATTAGTGAGTAAATCTTATGATTAAATATTGAGTCTAAATGGTGCGGGTCATAAACCTTAATATTCGAGATTACCCGTTATGAGAGATTTAGCTGATGACTTACGGGTTAAGCTTGTTATGATTATATTTTGAGATTTGGTTAAGTTTGATGATGAGAGGTCACAAAGTTGAGCTAGTAGTGAGTTGTGATAGGTTTTGAGGAGCTTGTTAGTTGTTGAACAGGTGTTACCATGTAACGAGCTGAAAGGCAGCAAATGATTGAAACCGATGCTGGAATTAGTCTGTTGACTAATCAGGTGAGTAACTCTACTCTAACATTTGTTGATGTGACATATGTGTTACACAATATGTGAATTATATTGTGATATAAATAAGTATTCATTATTGACAGATAGATCATGATTTATATAGATCATTACTGAGAAAAAGATCATGATTGAGAGATGGAATAAGACTGAGAGATAGATCTTGATTGAGAGATTGATCATTACTGAGTGATAGATATTTATTGATAGAGAGAGAGAGATCACAACTTATAAATAGATCATGACTAAGAGATTGATTATTGCCGCGAGATAGATTACTATTGAGAACTAGATCATTGTTGCGAAATAGATCATTACATACAAATAGATCATGACTGAGAGACAAATCATATTGAGAGAGTGAGATTATTATTGAGAAAAAGATTGTTAATGTTAAATTGATTGTTACCAAGAAATTGATTAATACTAGATCTTATAAGAGGATATGAGAACATCACTAAATGGTGTAAATTATTTGTTACATGTCAACGATGATGAGTTACTTTCTATATGCATGTGATAAATGTGATTTATGTTATAGTAGTTGTTATTTACTAATTTATGAGGCTTACATTGTTTTGATGATTATTTTGTAGGTAGATTATTGTGGCGCCCGACTCAGATCCTGTACTTGAGGCCAATACGATCCCTTGTGATAACTTCTTGTATTCCAGAGTGATAGTGTACACTAATATTATTTAAATGTTTTTTTAATGAGAAATTTATATTTGGGGTTTACTTGGTATAAAACTTGGGTGTTACAGGCAATTTCATTCGACTCAATTGGTATTTCAACATGAAGTTGAGAGCTAGTACCAACTATAGGTTTATTGTCGGCTATATCTCGAATTTCTTCAAGGTCAACATCAATCCTAGTGACTTCTTGATATATATATTTTCCTCTCTCAAGGAACACTCCCCTTGAGCTATAATCACCACATTCTCATGGGCATTTAAAACACATATCAAAAGTCTTTAGTGAATATCCGACAATGTAACACTTCTCAGATATCGATTAAAGTTGGTCATTGGTTTCTTGTCCACTGAAAGACCTCACAACACCAAACCTAAATGTGAGGGAAATTTCCAAGTCCACATTTCATGAGGTGTCTTCAAACCTACTTAGTCGGTTACAAGGTTCAAAACATGATCTACTATTTCAGGTGTATATTCCCAAAAATATAATGGGTAGCAAAGCACTATTCATCATAGATCGAAACATACAACATTAGATTCTCCTTTTATCAAGACTATTACATTATGGTGTCCTTGGAGAATCCAATTATGGAAACCATTCCGCAATATCTAAGATAATCGTAGAACTCAATACTAAGGTATTATCCTTTCATTTCGGATCAGAAACCCTTTTATCTTCCTGCTCAATTAATTCCCTACTTTTTTATGATATTCTTCAGCTATTCAAAATATCAAACTAATGCTTAATCATATAAAGATAATCAAATCTTCTGAAACTATCTGTAAACATGACATAACAGTGTTTGCAGTCTGTTGTGTCGGATCTGAAGGGTCCACACACATT